TTTCTATTCTATTAAAGATCCTCACAACAGACTAACACAAAAAAAATGGTTATACAACCAATCAAGCAAAAACTCACTTCAGAAATATCACCAAATATACTGAGTAAATGGAAAGCTACATTCTATCTAAAACTTCTAAACTCTGAAAGCAAATTTAAAATTAAACCCACCGTCTGAACATACTAGTAAGACTTGAAAGGAAGCTTTTATCAACATCATAAAACAAAAACCTACTTTTCACAATTTTTTCTTTTAATCCAGAGAAAAGCTTCTAAAATGTGAATGGTCCTGGAAGCAATTCCATTTCTCTTAAAAAACAAACCTACCATCAAACCTCACCTCCTTTAGAGCCATCCTAACACCCAACACTCATGGAAGAGGGAAGTGAATCACTACTTCTACACCTGGGTGTTAGGGAGTGTTCAAAGCAGATGAGAGAGCTTACTCTCCTTTGTGATTAGACTTCTCTCATCCCACCTTTGACTGTACAGTTACAGTGAGGAAACAGTTTTTACAGTAATGAATAATTACTTTACCAGCAGTTAACCCTAACTACATATATAGACTTTATTCCAGCTTCTTCCCTCAACTCTTCACTACATTTCATTACTCTGACTTGGCTCTTTCCATCTACCCTGCAATTTCCTCTTTACAATGCAGGTAGCTTCCATGCTCTTGTACCTGCCCTAACATCCCATTTATTTCTGACTGCTGGTCAATGATCACACGGATTTAATAAGGAGTTAACCTCCTGTCCTCCTCTACTGACAGATTTCTAACACAGGAACCTAACACAGCTCTCTGTTTAGGGCTGTTTGCTGTCACTTTTCCTATGAGGACTCTGAACTCCTTCAGGAATCACTAAAAACAAAGCAAGCCAACACTTCATGAAAGAAGCTCCCATCACTACTTCAATAAAAATAGGAACTCATTATTTAAAGTATTCCATTCAGTCTCTAACAGCAGTAGGATGTTTAATCTTAGAAGTGTATTATAGTCATTAACAGTGGTCACTGACAGTATTCTTAACTGCCAATTTAAAAAACAAACAAACAAACATGCAAAAACACATTCACAAAGCTTCAGTTATACTTTGGAATTTAAGTATCACAAGTTATAAGCAAATTTCATTCAAGTAGCCTACCCAGCACAATAGCACACAGTCCAGCAAAGATTTCATGCTATGTACATTAACGCTCTCTGCTTATTATTTTAAACAATTCAGTAAGATCATGGCATGAAACCAACAAAGTTTTAAAGTCTCTTAAACATAAATGTAGTGAAACACAGTATTTTCTTCACAATAAGAAACAATTGAGTACAGGTAGCTTAACTGTACTAACCTTTTTTGCTTCAAGTTCTACTGTGTCTTAGTGGGTCATTCCGCTCCGTACATTTAATTACAAAGAAATATCCTTTTCCCTTTTTTTACCAAAGGTTGTATCTTGCATTTTTACTCCTAAACTATATATATATACACACCTCCCTTACAGTATTTTCAAAGCCACTCTACTATATGGCCTCTTTGTTTTCTTTCCTGTACACCAGTATCTCCCCATTTATGCATATAAAAAGAACTACAACGGTCATCCATGCTCTCAGTTTATCCATCTTCAAGCATGAGAACCCTCAAATCTTTGTATTTCCCTTTTTCTTTAATGGAAACATTTCTTCCACATCTACACAGCCCTTCGTAGTCCTATTCCCCACAAACAATGCTGGCTTTAAGTCCCTATTTGTTACTGTTAAGAAACTTCACACTTGAGTTGGTCTCATGAGACCCCCTAATCTCTTCAAACCCCACACTTGCCTATAGCAGCTGATCTATAAATAGGAGATGCACTGAGGGGGGGAGCTGTTCATTATGTTTTAAACACTTGAATACAATGTGCCCACGCACAAGGACCTGAAAGCAAGAACAAAGTTAAGGCAGTTTTTTGATATGCTGGATGTACAAGTATTCTTAGAAAACCAGGGATGTGACAAAAACTTGCAAGTACTTCACTGTGTTTAGGCCAAGATAAACCTGGAAGTCTCTCTCCAGAGAATGCCTCTGCATGCAGTCAGTCTCTTTCCACAGAAACCATGCAGTAAGCAACTTTGAAACATGCTTTGTTTGCACTGTATCAGTATGGAGGGCTTATCCATAACACGTTTTAAAACTTTAACTGAATTTCTTACTATGGATTACAGTTCTACAAACACATAAGTTTCTGCCAGGAGTATTTAAAAAATAAGCTGTAACAACAAATACCTTTATACAGGTACCAAAGATATTAATAACTCAAAAATGGCAGAACCACCTCCTGTTAATTTTCAATCAGTTTAATTATAGTTCTTATATTTCAAATGTGCACACTTCAATCTTTAAATGACACTTAGCCGGTTGTCTTTACCACAGAAAAGTGAACCAGTCATGACTAAATCAGCATGTTACACCTGTGAACCTTCCTGTTTCACTTCAGAGCAAAAATCACTAAGAGATATAGAGAAATGCTCTCTTAACATTGACTTGAGAGGGAGAGATCAGGTTAAATTGGCTTTGTGTTCAGTATTAATACTGCAGATTTCTGTCCTATTTTGTTTTCTGAGGTATGAGAGAAAATGAGATTGTTTGGGACTATAATGCAGTTTTGGGAAATAAATACTAGAGTTGTTTCAATGAGGTTTGTGTTTTTAAGTTCAGCTAGATCATAAGGCAGTAACATCTTTGTAGTAGTTTCAAATCAAGCACCACTGGTTTTAAAATAATGCATGGCAATTACAAAAAATAAAGACCACACAACTTTTTTCTTTCCCTCAGAATGTAAAAAGAAAACAAGTTAGAATACTACAGTAGCATCAAAGCAAATCAGTACTCTTCAGTCATATTAGAGCTTAGATTAGCACTTTAAAATTTTAGCACTTTAGTATTTTTGGGGTTTTTTTCCACTGTATGTCTATAACTGCAAAACTAAGTGAATACTATAGCAATAACAGCACTTCAGTGTAATTCAGTAGACAGAGAACATGGTAAATTATTGTCTTTTGCATATTAGCAATATGCAAATGTCCATTATAGCATTTCACTTACATTCTAACACCTACCTTCAGTTCACACTGACAGAAATATTCAGTAAATCAAAGACAAACTGAAATCCTGCTGCCCACATCTGCTCAGCTTTGGTTTTACCATGTACAATATACAGGATTTAGTGCAACTTTGATGTTTGGAATATATTTTACAAAGGTGAAACTGCATCCAAGCTAATCTTACTAACAACACACAAAAAATATTACTTACTTCCATTGAATAGTACAAACGTTCAACTTTGAAAATTAGTAATTTCCCTCAGACTGTTGAACACTACTTCCTTCTTCCAGTCTGTTAACACATGATGTGCAAACAACTGCTTTCAGATCAGAATAAATAAAACTTTCCCCTGTGTTAGCAGCCAGGAGAAGGTACAGGGGGGGATAGTTTTCCTTCCATTTACAAAATTACAAATAATTCATTTTCCTTCATCCTTACTGTGCACATTCATGCTCCAGATCATTCCCCAACTATTATATCCAGCTGGACTCAGTAAGAACTTCAGAATGTCTTTCCTATCTTAAAAACAATCCCAATACACAAATAAGCAAATACACTCCCCACATAGAGCCTCATCCTCCAGATGTTTTCATATTTGCATAACTCCACTAAAAGTAGCTCAGTTGAAGCATAAAAAATTACTGACTGTAGCAAAACTAAGCAGAATTGCAAAAGTATGTAGGATGAATATCTCTGGACAGGTGAACAGGAAATAAAAGAGGATGCCTCTGTAACCCAAAAAGTAGCACAGAATAGCAGCCTGTGGGCATTGCACATGCATTTAGTACTGAGATTACACTTCCAATTATGATGAGATATAATGAAAACGAGTGTACTAACAAAAGATACATGTTTTTATAATCCATCTACACACTTCTATGACATTATCAGTGGTCTACAGAGCCTCTGCATTAAGCCAAAGAAGGAAAACAAATAGGAATTGTAAGAACAATTGAGTATCATAAACACATTTGTGGTGTGGAACTCCTATTTTCTAAAAGGTACTCGAAAGTATTTCCTTTATTTTATTATAACTATTATATCAGGTGAAACTAGTGCAGCTACAAATGTATCTGTATATCACAATTTGTTAGCTTTATACAAAAAAAAAGCACTGATTTAAAGCTGCAAGTTCTCTACTTGAAGACTCCACTTTATAATTTGATAGAGAAACCAAATGCCGAAACAGAGAACACTTTTCCAAATTCAAACAGTAACCACAATTTTCTAAACTACAGCTGTTTGTTACCTTAATACTATTTACTACATGGAAAACCCTACTCTTTCCTTTTTCTACAAAGTGGGGATATAAAGCAGTATCAATTAAAAAATACTGGGGCTATGACTACTGTCTTATAATCCCGTAAAAACACAGAAGGAAGACTTGACTGTGAACATACTTCTTCCAGCTTCTGTCAAGAAAGGCTCTAGTATGTGCTACCTTTGATTATCATCTTCTGATTTTATTTAGAGTTCTATAAAGCAGCTAAACATAAAGAAGCTCTTTTTCATTTCTGATGGAGTTCAGTCTATGAAACATGTACGTACACAATATAGCACCACAATACACCAAGTTATTAATAAAGTACCCAAAGCAGCCTATATTTATTGCTAGTGAAAAATCCAGAAAATTATTTCATGTTATTAAATGTTGCAGTATGTCTAAAGTAAATGAGACATACCACTTTTTAAAAAAAAGTTTATTTAATCTTTGGGGTTGTAAGGAAAACTACCATACCTGTAAAAATTAGAAAATTAATAGGTTTTACAATGCCTAAATGAAGCCCTTTGACTTCACTGCAGTCTTCCAAGCACAGCACAAGGCACATTTAGAGTAAGACTCATCACCTGAGTGATAAGGGCTAAATTTTAATATTAATGAGAAATTAGTAATTGTTTAAATAAAGGTTTGTTAAAGGTAACTCACCACCATCCCTCTCTCTAACTCTGTGAGTATGCACACTTTTTGCTTTACTGTGCCCTGTGTTGTCACCATATTTGTTTTCAGGGCTGTCAGAGCGTCGCAGCATTTTATTTGGCGGGGAAGGATCTGTGGTGTCTCGCATCTTGTCATGACGGTGATCACCACCACTGGGGTGACTCTTGGATGAGTACTTAAGAGCCTGCAACAAATCACAGGAAAACAGACATTTACATTAGATTTGAAGTTTCTGGACTAATGTTAAAATGTTGTTTCTAAATTTTACATCTCTTTCAAAAACTTTTAAAAGTTAATTAATTTTCATCTCCTATTTAAGAAAAAAAAATCAGCATTAGTCTTTCTAATTTTAATTACCTACAATAAAGCAACAAGTTCTGTAATTAGAACTCAAACCATTTTCTCCCACTATCATATCCAACATAACACTTGCTGTTACGAAAAACCTAGTTTCCTTGTCTTTTCACTGATGGACTACACACTTTCAACAGTACACAGTTCTTCTGCACTTTTGGGAGAAGCACAAGTCTCCACTTCTTATTAAGCATACGAACTGGAAGTTACACTGAATCAGTGTCAACTTTGAGTATGTTCTCCATACTCTTGTCAAGATCATTTTACCTTGAACTTCTGTGACCTTTTTTTAATACTTTCAACACTCTCAACATATGTAATTAAAAAAAAATAATTCTGGAGGGCCAAAACATACAATGTAATGACTCATTTTTAAGTATTTACCAAAAATTACATGTTCTGCCTCACTTTGACCTGCTTGGTTTTGCAGTGTGAGCTCCTGAATGGCCAAGTGTTTACATTTACATGAGCTGTCACTGACAGTTGCCTTGGACTGCTATATTGCACTTCACAGCCATACAAATACACAGAAATACAATGAAACAGGTCAGTTCTGGGCCTAAGGAGAGAAGTATCACAACATACAGCTCTCCACAGACTCACACACCTACAACTGTTTTTTCAGTGGACACAGCAAAGAAATAAGAGTATCCACCATACAGAAATTGAGGTTATTGTCAGAAGCCCGAGAATTTTATGGCTTCTGAACATGCCCAGCAGCTGGCAACTGCAGAAATTAAGCCTTACTGGCAACCCCAAGTTGTTCAGGGTCTAAACCCATGCCCTGCTCAGGTTACAGCCCACAGCAGCAGTTTTAGGGAGAAGAAAGGACTTTGGGCAGGGGGGCTGGGGGGGGCAAGAACAAGACACCTTTTGTTTTTAGAAGGAAAACACTCACCTCCCCCTGGTTCTCCGCTCCGCCGCGGGTGACCCCGGCCCGCTCCCCCGCCCCTCGCACCTCCCCGGCTCCCAGGCCCGGGCCCCGCACGGCTCGCACTAGGCCGCTGTTGCTCGCCCCGGCCCCACAGGCCTGTGCCGAGCGCTGGGATCCCGTTCCCCGCTCCGCGGCCGCCTCCCCGCCCCACGGCCCCGGGAGCACCTCCGGGAGCCGGGCAGGGCCGGCCGCGGCACCGCGGCCTAAGACGGCCGCCGGAGCCTCCGCCGGAGTAGCTCCCCTCCGCCCCCCTGCTCCTCCTCCCGGCCCCGCGGTACCTGGTAGGGCTGCGAGTCCCCCCTGCGGTCGTGACAGCTGAGGAGAGAGCGAGAGAAAGAGAGAGGCGTTAGCGAGCGCCCGTTACCGGCCCCGCGGCCGGGCAGAACATGGCGGAGGGGGGGGGGGCGGCCCCGGCGGGGCGGGGGGGGGGGATTTACCCATCACTGAGTCTCTGCTGTTTCCTCGCATACATTACCATCAATGCCCGGCCTGTGTGTGTGAGGGTGAGGGGACCAGGAGGGCACGGCCGCGGCCGGGCCACAGGCGCCGAGGGGGGAGGCGGGGGCGGCAGCGCTCCGGGGGCAGGGACGGGGGGAGGGGGCGGCTCGGGCAGCTCGGCTGGAGCGGCGCTCACGGGCCCATCGCCTCGAGAGGGGAGACGCCGGCAGCTCGGCCCCGCGCGCGCTGAGACACACCGGGAGCACCGGGAGCACCGACTCGGCCGCCGCCTCCCCCCGCCGCGCCCGCCGCCGCCGCCGCTCCAACTACATCCGGGGAACTCGGGCGACGCCGCGCTCGGTCAACGTCGGCTCTTTCCGGCTCTTTCCGACGCGCTCCGTCCCCTCTGTCCCCTTTGCTCTCGGGCGACTCTGCCTTCGGCAAACATCGGCTGCGTCCGCCGAGCCCGACGCCCCTCAGTCCCTCCCTTCGGCAAACATCGGCTCCTTCCGTAAAGCTCGTCCCTCCCTCCCCCGCCTGCTTCGGGCCCCCTCTCCCGAGCGCTACCTGTCTTCGTAAAACATCGGGTATTTCCGGAGAGGCGCTTCCGCGCGGCCGGTCAGGGCGGCGCCGCGCTCGGAAGCGCTCGGGTATTTCCGTGATCCCTCGCGGGCCGGCGCGGCCGTTGGCGGGCGCGCGGGGCCGGCGGCCGCGAGGGACCGGGTCCGCGGCGGCAGAGCCGCCACCTCGGTGGGGAGGAATCGCGATCCCGCCAGGCAGGTGGGAGCAACAGTGGGGAATTGTGGGGGGAGGTAGGCACGGGAAGGTCTCCTCTTATCTACCCCCTCCTCCTCTTCCGCCCGGGGGCTCGGTGCACAGGCAGGAGCCATTTTGTGCGCGGCGCGTGTTCGGCGGGGCCGCGCTGGGCGGCCAGGAGGGTGTTAAGATGTCCCTGGGGCCGCGCGGGTCGGGCCCTGGGCCTGAGGGTGTCCTGGGGGATGGCGGGTGAAGGGCTCGTCCTGGCCCTAGCTCAGCATTCCGGGTCGTCCCGGTGTGTTCGGGGGTCCCCGGGCCCTCTGTTGTGCCGGGATGGTTCTCTGTTGCTCGCTGAGCCCCTCACGGGACGAGGTGGTGCCCGGAGACAGGACGAGAAGCGATGGCCATAAATTAAAAGATAAGTTTCTTGTCAATATGAGGAACTTCTTAACGATGAGGGTGGTAAAGGACTGGGACAGGCTGCCTATGGAAGGCATGGAGTGTCCCTCTCTGGAGACATTCCAAACCCACCCGAACGTATTCCTGTGTCACCTGCTCCAGGTGACCCTGCCTTGGCAGGGGGATTGGACTAGGTGATCTCCAGAGGTCCTTTCTAACCCTGACAGTTCTGTGATTCTGTGATTCTTGGTCATTTCTGACCACACCCTCGAAGTATGTGGTACAAAGCATCATCTATTCAGAATCGTATTAAGATATTATAGGAGCCAAAAATTTTCAGTAAAGGTATAAGTGCAAATGCCAAATTTTGTCCTGTTCCCTTGTTGAAAAGGGAAGAGATGTGGCACATCTCAGAACGAGCATGTTAACCTTAAACAGAGCATCTTGCCCCGTCGCTCTGAGCTGTTGCAGCATTATTCGTGGTAACACTGAGAGAATTTTTTTTTCCTGTTTTTGTTGTATTTTTCCTATTAGAGTGCAGAAGGCCGTTGCCGAGCAGGAACTTCTGGGAGCGGTGGCAGAGCTCAGGGAGGGAGTGCAGGATGACTCAGCAGGGAGCTGTTCTTCAGGGTTACAATAATGAACTAGTGAAATGCATTGAAGACTTATGTATGCAAAGAGAAGAGCTGAACAAACAAATCCAGCAAGCAGAAGAAGAAAGGAATAAACTCCAGCATGAAATTCAAGTCCTGAGTGAACAGCTGGAGCGTGTATGTGAAAACCTGGCCCAGAAGGTGGCTTCACGGAATGAGCTTGATAAAATTCTTGCTGAAACTGAAGCAGCTTACATGAAGATTTTGGATAGTTCTAGAACTTTACTTAATGTCCTGAAGAAGGAAGTGGGAAGCTTAAGGCATTCACCAGATCTGAAACCCAATGTAACGTGAAACAGTCAAATGTTTGGACTCTACAGTGCTAAAATTCCACTGGGTGAGAACTGTGGTTAGCCACGGAACCTTACAGCAACAGTATAAGCGGAAAGGGATTTTCTTCCAGCCTTTCTGTATGTTTTATTACTATTACTTTTAAATGCACTAGAAAATAGATTAAATAAAGTTGCTGTTTTGCTTTAAAAAATCTAGTTACTTAAACACTACAACATTATATTTCAAAGAGGTAGTTGAGGCAGATAAGAGACTGTCAGTTTTGACATGGTAGCGCTTCAAGACTTCCAAAGACAGCAAAAAAAAAGTCATGTTTTATTAGTTGGCTTCAGATGGCTACTGGTAGATTCCTGTTAGAAAACTAGTGGATACAAGTAGATCAGATACTACTTCTTTTTACTTTACAAATGGTTAGGCTTTACTGTTGAACCAAGTAGAAATTAACTATTTAGCTTTCTCTAGGAGCTTGGAGTTCTGTCTGATGCATGCACAAAGACAGCCTTTCTTTACTATCATCTCCTATCTGGAATAATGGAGGGACAAGGTAAGGAAACATGACTAATGCAGAGCATGGAGGCTTAAACTGTAAGACTGTATGTGATTCATGCATCTTCTGAAGCTGTTCTCAAAAGCTTTGTTTAGGAAGGAGATGTGCTGTAGTGGAAGACAGGTTTGGTGCAAGTGCACATGCCTCCAAATGCAGGGCACAGCAACAGAGGCAGCTACACTATATAAACCTGGACCAATAACTCATGGGTAAGGAAAAGGTGACTATTTCAATAGTGACTAGAAGTCCTGAAAAAGTTACTGGAGTTCAGTTAAAAATATAGAGATAAATACAAGGCCAAAGAAGACAATCCTGGCTAAAAGCTAGTAATAGAATTTCTGGAAACCCTTTTAGTGCCTTTTAGCTCTATACTGATGTATTAAATAATTTTAATAAGGTTGTAAAGAATAGTGAACATCCTGGAATGGTGAGAAATAAATACAAATGAAAGATGAAAATGAGAAGTGGTTTGCACCTTGTCAGGCATTCTCACAGGTGACATTAAAGTAGAACTTAGTTTAGAGATCAGGGAGGACAGCAAGGCAGAAATCTTCATTTAATCCTGTTTTCTATTCCTGGTGAACCTCTCTGTAGTTATGTGCTTGTACATACACGTGCATTTTGTCCTGCACATTTTCTGTTATAGCGGTAACTTTTTAAGTTGTAGTCAAATCTTCATTCAATACCAATTAGCTAAATTGAAAGAAGTGCAATTGTGATCTCCTTACTTGATAATAGTGTGTCTCTCAGGTGCAAATAGAGAGGACAGTGTAGGTGTGAATAGTTTAATAGCTCTTCCCAAATCATAGGAAACAAATTTTATGTTCTGGTTGCCATGCTACATCAGGGATTAGTGTACCAGGCTAATCACAGTTTACTTGTATGGCATTTCCACTGGCTTTCCTCGGGTAATGCTGAGGTGATAAAATTAGATAATCTCAGGGCTACTGCTGCTGTTGCAGTACCACAGCATTCAGGACCCCCTTGTTTGTGTTACATAAAAATTTTGCTATGTTTAGTAGCAAAAAAGTTTTATTTGACTGGCTGTTTTATGACATTGTCTTCCCTTAGAATGGGAGTAGTAACTGATTTACAACAAAAGAGGAAGAATCAGGAAAAAGTATTAACTAAAGAGCAGGAACTGTCAGTTGCATGTGTAAACTGCTTCTTACTATCTGCAAGGTAACTCAAAATTGTCTGTGAAAAAGAATTCGTGTCATGGAAAACTCATAGAGAACAGCATAGCTAATTTCTTGTATTAATCTCACACAATAATTACAGGTTTCTTTGTCTTAGAATAGTCATAAATAATGCCTCTTGTTCTACTGAGGCTGTTAAAACTAAAGTTTTAAGAGAAGCCTTTTGAGTCTTTAAAGAAGTTTACTCACAGCCATTATTACATGTAATTGTAGCTATTACAAGGTCAAAACTAAAATACTGGAGATGCTTGAATTTTTTGTTACAAAGCAAGGGGAAAATGTAACTGCTGGCTAGTAATGTAACTGCTGGGGCCTCCCAACATTCAAATAAAATGTTGAAATATTGTTAGAATTCCATTCAGTGATCCCAATCTGTAAAATTTCATTTAAAATCAAACTTAAAAATGAGGAGAAATAACATATATCTCTAGGGCTTGCCTATTTGTAGAATAACTACAGTGTTACATGACAGTCATTGCACACATGCAGAGCTGTTACTCAAAAATAGAACTTACCATTATATTCTGTATTGACCCAAATGAACTTACTATATTCTTTTATTGAAGTGGTAAACCTTTTTCACAGCTTTTTCAGGTAGTATAAATCTTGACAGAAATAGCTTTTGTTAAACAGCTCCAATTTGTTCAGAACAGGAGACCTGTAAACTCAGTTGGTACATTGTATTGCTAGAAGAGAAATGATAATGTGCAGCTGCAAGCTGCTCTGTAGGGCTGGCCTGTAACAGTAAGTTTACCTGAAAGAAGGTAAATTGTAAGCTTAAAAGCATCATACTTATTCCTGACTTAAGTTTTGTGTTGAATATGTGTGACTCTCTGAGTTAGATTTGATGCTTTACTTGAGTGCTTACAGTCTAGGAGCCTTAATGACAAAAACTGGGCTCCCAAATTGAAGTGCCTCATCTAAAGGGCTGTGTTGGGTGTCTTCTATCTTACTGGATATGTGAGGAGATGCAGTTTTTGAAACTCCTACCTGTGCTTCATTCAAAGATCTAGTGAAATGCATCTAGAGCACCGTTCTAAAGCCCTGCATTTATGTAGAGGCACCTCTGCCTGGTTTCCAAGTAACAGCATAACTGGATGAGATATGATGATTCCCAGCTTTTATACCAATGCTTCTTAGATATGTACCCAGCACTTAATAACTCTAGTGATCAACAGGTTTGTCAAAATATTTGACTGTTGACTCCTTCCAAGTAAACTAAGTTTATTCTGTATGATAGAGTTTAGTTATCAAAGAAACTGCTTGTGGGTGGTATGTTGAAGTAATTTTGTGTGTGGAAGTGATTATAGGAGCCACTGGATGAAGTGCTCCAGCAGCCATTCCATAACTGTCCAATCCATAACTGTCTCTTTTTTGTTGGTGCTTGCCCTGCAGTTCAGGTACCTGCCCACATGCAGTTTCTGCTAATCACCTTACAGAAATGGAGATTAATGGACTGGAGTTGGCCCTAATTTTTAGGGTAGAGAAGAAAAAGAAAGTATGGATGTGGAATTGTGGTTTGGAAAGACTGGAGCATGAGGGGGTGTAATAAAAAGACTGATGGAGTTTCTCCTAATTTGTCTGCTTTAAGTGTGCTTGTACTGAGCTACTGCCTACAGTTTTTGCTACCCAATGAATCAAATTTTAGAAATCATCTGAAGTTCATCTGAAATCCGGCCTTCCCCCCTTCCTTTAAGCCCACTGACAAGTCAGCAACAGAGGCAGTCTACGTTTTCCTTTCTCTTTCTGCCTTTTACTTCTTTCTGGCCACACCAACTTGCATGCCCAGCTGCACAGTGGCCAGTTCCAGCAGGAAGCTGTGGAATCAGCCTCCCGTTTGCTGGGTAAGTGTACTGCCAGGCTCACACAGGATACAGTGCTATTGTTTCTTGCCCTGGTTGCTCTGCTATGAGCAGTCATCATTGAGCTACTTGGGTTTTGTAAAGAACCCTAAATCCTGTCTGTATTAGATGTACTCTATGTGTGTGTGTGATTGATCTTACAGAATTTTGTTAGAGAGATGGCAGTTTTTTGGGTCTTAACTTACTGACTGCAAGAGATTTGTTTCCTTGGACTGTGAATTCTTCAGACTAGGAAGACTAGGCATCTTTGAATACCCAAAGCTGTCTATTCAAACAATGAATCTTAACTCAGATGTCTGGGTATTGGTTTGCTGTTTCAGAACTGAGTATCTCAATTCCATCTAGCTCGTGTGGTGTAAGTGTGTCCCGCTCCAAATGGATTAAGTGGATTAAGCTAAATTAGAACAAGATACTTGTAATTAGGGAACAGGAACATTCAGAAGATCGTTAGCAAAAGCATGAAATGTCTACAGTTAACTGCAGACATAAGATGAGTCTTATGCAGAAGACCAATATCTATTACTCCTTTGATTTTGCTTGTTAGAAGTTTGAATGAGAAGATGCAGCTTGTGTCAGTTGCCTTAAATCTGAGTAGATCCCAGGCTCCTGCTTTTTTATGCAAGTAGACAAAACATTTATTTTCCTTCTATTCATTAGTGAGTGAAGTATCAATAGATGCTTTAATATTGATTTGTTTGTGTGTGTATTGGTGGAGTTTTTTGATGTATGGATAAGCAAGTTTTCCTAAAATCAGAGTGCTTTTTTAGCTTTATTTTTAATGTATGTGTGTGTTTTTAAATACAGATGTAAATATTTTCTTCTCTTGGGGGAAGGACAGACTAGCCTTTGGTTTAGTTTGTGCACCAATTGCTTTGTCCGTGTCTGTTACATTACTGGTGGGGAGTCAGGTAACGTGGCTGCTTCTTGGGTGTCTGTTCCATGTCTTTTTTTAAACTGGGAGTGGTTTTTTTTCGTTCTTTGTCCCTTAACTGCTTGTAAATCTCTCTTTAATTTGTTGCCCTGTCCTTGATTGTTGTCTGCCTCAGTTGGCTTGCAGATGAAGTTTTGTTCACTGTTTAGCTGTAAAACCCATCTACTTGCATGTTTCTAATAAAACATGGAGAGGTTCAGGTTTGCAGAAAAGGGAGCTATATCTTATTTGGTCATTCATGGCTTTAGCCTGTGGGATTTATGTGAAAAGTGGTTCAGTGCTGTAGTTTGATTATACAAAAATATGGTGTTAGTATAAGTGAGACTAGTAGAACACTTCTATTTTGTAATGATTTCAAAAGTAGTTTCGCGAGATCTTGTGGGGTGGTTTTTCTGTCTATTAGTGCAAGACTGTAGATATGCTGCAGTAACTACTACAGAAAATTAGTAAATTTTATTACAAACTTGGATATCTTACTTAGCAGCAGCATTGAAAATAATGGTGTAAAATCTTAGCATTTTGATTGTAGCAAGCCTATTGTTTGCTACATGATTCGAAGCTGGTAATATTTGTAAGTATGCTTAATTTGAACGTCATAAATGGGAAAATCTAACTTTTGGAATAGGATTCATCTGAATTAGATAGCACCTGTAGACAGAGATCATGTTCAGGAAAAGGCATTTGAAAAAAGTCCTGTCAGATTGTGATTCCTCTGATTGTGATGGGAGCTTCGGGTTCTCTCACACCTCACTTCAGGGCCTGTGAAGTTCCATGGAGTGGCTTCTCCTCTCTGCTCGCCACCACTTGTGTGTAGAGTACGTGTTCTTGGCCCTGAAGGAGTTAGGGTTGAGTGTTCTCGTTTATTATCTTTTATGACGTAGACACACAGCTTCCTGGCCAGCCCAAATCAAGACCACAGGACTGTTAGGTAGAGACTATAAAACAAAGTAAGAAGGAGGGTGAACAAGTTTTAACACTTACTTGGAAAAATGTTTAAGATTATGATACCTAATAGACTGGTCACAGAGCATTTTAAAGTTAAATCTTCATAGGTGTTATTTTTTGAGCTTCATATGCATAGGTTCTCTTGCTTCAGTGAGAGCTCCTGTAATGCACTTGAGGTTTTCCATTGATTTCTAGTATATGGGAACACTTCTAGAAAATTATTTACATCATAGTCCATGACAGATCTGTAACTTAGTTTTTTTTTAAAACCACTTCATAACATTGATTTAGTTGAACTTAGTAAAAAAATACCATATTTCTTTCCTAAAGGTTTTCACATCTCCCTACCTGTATTCAGAAATAGATCAAAGTATTATCTGTAGTATTCTTTTTTGTTGTTATGGTTATTAACAAGTTGATACAACTTGGAAACCCATTCTGATCGGGTATGTCTGTCAGTTCCAGACACAAAATCCTTTTCATATTCTGCAAGCTTAAATATTTTTAAAGCCTCTTTTTCCTTATACAGTAGGAACACTTTGAGTTGAAATCAGCATGACTGTTAGACTCATGCAGTTAATGTTTTTTTAATATAGTTAGTATTCGGGGCTGAATTATAGTCTGTCAGGTGTTTGAAAACAAACTAACAGTAATTCTTCATATGCTTATGCAGCTGTTCAGTAACAAATCCTGTTAGACATTTGTGTTGCTTGTTACTTGATAGTAAATGGAATTAATTGCTGTAACTGATGAACCCAGGGTACTTTTTATTAAATAGTGGTCCTTCTTCAAGTATTGTTGCTAGCATGAAGGGAATGGATGCTTCTTCCCAGGGGGATGTGGGGCAAAAGAGGAGCTGCCTTTTTAGTAGAGGCCACCCATCTGTGGAGAGAGAGGAGCATCTTTGTTAGCCTGGTTCGTGGTCAAGTGATGTGAGACAATTCAAACAAACTGCTTAGAAAGGTCATAGTTTACTGTTGCAAGGTGCACTGAAGCAAGCTGGAAGAAAGAAAACCCAGTCTGTGCTGTCAGTCCCAAGGAATGCGATAGCTGATCCCAACCAGGTTATCTTAAAATGCAGGAGCTCA